TTATTGATGAAAAACATTGAATTATCAATTAATGCCGAGGTTAACAGAAAGTCGGTCATGGGAATTACTACGTGGAGTTTTTTGTTTGTTAAAATGTTGATGATGCAAAGTTTAAGGTTTGGTGTCTGGCATACCATCAACATTTACGACGTGAGCTCATTCCACTCGCCTGTGATATTGTTGACAGACCACTCGTTAGACGACAAGAAGATCCACCCACCTTTCACACATCGCCTAACCATCACAGTGTGATAATTAATGCGAATGAGGTAATCCGCTTTCCGAGTATGACCTTTCTTCTCATATTGTAAGTGAAACATTTTCATTCGGTTCGTAGTTTTGTATCCGTATCCACGATGATGTTTGGACTTCCGTGTAGCTGGCTTGCTTCCTGAGGATTTTGTCTTCTTGATGAACGTCGTTAACGTCATAGAATTCTAGTTGAGTTAATTCTCCTAGGAAACAGACGATAACTTTGTTAGAGCGTTTCCACGTTCTCACTATAGGCGGTCGCCGGTCTTTTCGGTTGGTGAGGACCTTTCTTCTTCCAGAGAAATGTAACACTAACCTACCGACTTCAAAGAGATAGGGGATTGGAGAGTTCAAAGTAAGGTCTTTCCAAGGGTCGCGTGTACTTTAGGGCACCTTTAAACACTATTGTACGCGCTGTCACTGATAACCCACGCTAATAAAAATGTTACTTAATCGCATGTTAGCTCAAAGAACCTATTAAATATCGTTTTTTTATTTATTCAGTCATTGCTTAGTTATAGGTAAGATCTTTATTTTAGACTTATGTTCTCAATACGTCTCAACGTATCCAGTTGTATAGTCGTCCTTCACCAGATGCCACCATCAATGGGGCATGGCTTGAAGGGCGAAGCGAGTTGGAGGGAAACGGCTGGGTATCGAATCAGCATGGCGTGTGGGTCCGGGTTGCGGACACCAACCAATTTATTCTTGCAGAGGTGGGTGGCACCTTCAGAGATATCTCAGTAACATAGTTTCTGAAATTAGGGAGGTATTTGAAACAGTGGCTCTGTACAGTCATAAACTAGAGTTTTTAAGAGTTTTGAATTTAAAAGAAGAGAAGAACTTTGAAAAATCTTTAAAAAAACTTGTCTTGCGATGTATGAAATTTTCACATGTAATTAATTCTTACTAGTACGTCCTTTAGAACTCAGCTGGTAATAGTTCAATACTTTCACAGTCATTGTCGGTGAATGGTAATGAAGAAGATGAGCGATCGCCCAAAGCCCGAAAACAGAGGTCAGGTGTTTAGTAGGATTTCCCTTAGAATTTAGAATTTGCTCCCTCCCATGTTTGTATTTTTTTAAGAATTTACCCCAGAACAAACTTAAGACGTTCTTTATTCCTACTTCCTACCCGATGAATTTTAAGTTCTGCAATGTCTACTGCACTCCGACCTTCTGTTGTCGAATGTTGTCGAGCAGTGTTTGCTGCTTTTCTTTGGCATGAACACCTCGTGAAAGATGCAATGGCAGCAGCCGCGTATTTGAAGTTTCACCAGCATCTGCATAAGGTAGGATATTATTTTCAGTAAGTAAAGCGGGACCTACAAATCTGACCTTATGGGATTAATGTCTTATAAATTGGATGCGTGCAATACCGACTAAGCGAAAATTTGTTGGCAGTCACAAGAATTCCATGTCATTAGTAGATTTCTTTTTGCTGATTTCATTAATTATGATATAGATTATTTCTACTTAGAAATTTATTAATCCATACACCTCTATATAAGGATGCAGGAATTTTGAACTTCGATTTAGTTGTGGAGTCACTCAGATGTTCACGAAGCAGCTGCTCCAGCTGCTCTACAACCTATAATTCGGCTTTGGATTGAAGTTTGTACTGCGGTTAAAGGCAGTGTCGATCAGCATCTCATCGTTCCGCCAGCTGGAGGAAGAGCTTTCGGGTCTGTCACGAGAAAAATAGAGGTAAGAGGACATTTTCTTGCTATATTATATTTTATTGTTATTATTATATATGTTATTATTATTTATATTTATATTTCAAAAACGGTTTTCCTTTAACCTCGGTATCACTAATCAATATGTATTCTTTCTTTGATAGCTTACACGAGGATGGTAAATAATGTTTATTTACGACTGACGTTTCGACGGTTTCGTCTTCATCAGAGCCGATGATCCAAGTCAACGGTCCACGGTTGTTTGTGTTCTCGAGCTGACGTCTTTATCGCGCATCGACCCGAATCTTTCTGACTGGAGCATCTTTCTCGAATGAGGCGTACTCACTCGGCGATAACCTTTTATATAGGACAGCTGTTATCAATAGCACTGATTGTCCGGTGATAACCACTTGTTTTTTCCGGACAATCCATCCTGTAGAACTCGCTGTCATTGTCAGCTAATACAAAGCGTAGAAAACCTAGCTGTTTTTATGTTTATGGAGACCAAGCATAGTGATCTCTTTTACTTCTTGGGTACCTCAGTTATTGGTATTTTCACTTTTCTAGCATCTCATGATGTACTATGTTGAATCCTATAGGAAAGCTTGCTTGTTCCTATGATTCTGCTTCATCCAACTTTCTGACAGTCCTGTTGACGATGACTCGATTGATGATCTTTTGGACCATTGAGGGGGCAGATAGCGCCATCGTTATTTTGCCGTATGAGTCTCACTTCTCATGCAACGACGCGGTTCTAGCGATCTTCAGTTCGCTAGAAACCTTGTGCGTACCATGTGAAAACGTGGGTCAATGTGATGTGGGGGTTGGCAATAGTGCATTCGGCTTTACTATAACAACGCTGTCCTGATCGCATGTTATAGTGTTTTTATAGATGTGATCTGTGAAGATAGGATGTGTCAGATGGATGTCTAAGAGATCGCAGTAGAAATCTTGACTGGTCCTTTGTGGATGGAATGGCTATCTTCTACCTGATGTTAAGAGAGGCCGTGTTGGTGTTGGTGTTAAAATTGATATAGGCGGTACAGATGCTCTCCCCAACTTTACAATTTCTGTCACTATTGCTACTCTTGTCTGATTAAAGAATTCTTTCATTTCTTCTTTGGAGTTGGAATTTTGCACAACCGAAGGTAAGTTTGTTTGGGATCGAGCCACTTCAAGGTGGCCTACCAGTCGTGATGTGTCTGGAGACAAACGTCTTCCAATAGATTGCGAACTGTCGGCTTTTTAAACACTTTTTTTAAGGTTGTTGGGTAAGGGGTAAGCTAATCGTGCTCTTCATCGACGTTGTCCTTAACCGTATCTTCCGAAAATCTCGCCGATGACCTAAACAAGTTTCGTTTTAGGTTAATTTTGGTTTTGATTTGTTTTGGAGCCTGCAGCTTTCTCTACTGCAAAAAGAAGAAAATGATTTCTGCGTGCAAAAGAAACGGAGATCTGATTCCGTTTAAAATTTTAGGACAACAGCGACATCGACTGGCTAAAATCTTCGATTTACGAAGTGGTCTGTCTCGGGATGTTGACAAACTCCTACTTCCAACGTTAAGAGGGAGTAGGGGGGAGGGGGTGGGATGGGTTTAGAGTCACGACCTATTCTTGCTTCACCGCTTGGAGGTAGTATGTAGATAAATATTTTGCCTTTATGTGGTTTTCTATTTGTTAGTTCATCTGGTTATTGGAGCGTTTAAAAGTTTGATTAGAAAGTTTACAGTTTGGCGTCTGGCGGCGTCTGATCTGGCGTCTACCGACCCCTCCACTTTTAAAGTGAGACCCATCATCAGTTGTGTAGACGGGCCTACAGATAGAATTGCTTGGTTTATAAACCTAATTCTCAACCAGTTGCTTAGGCACATACCAGCCCATCTCACGAACACCCAAATGTTCCTAGACCGTCTGCGTAACGCACGTCCCAAAAGCGCGTACGTTATGGAATCGTTCGACGTTACCGCTCTTTACACTAACGTGTCGAACGACTCCGCAATGCAAGCCATCCGTGAGCTTCTTGAGAAACACGAAGGAGCGATTAACATGTATGGCTTTTCGATTCAGCAGCTTATGGTCCTCCTGAAGGTCTGTTTAAACTGCTCGATCTTCAGATGGTCCGGGAAATATTACGCACAAATTAGAGGGTTGGCAATGGGACAGCGACTGGCACCAACCCTTGCCGTTGCCTTTATGTCTAAAGTGGAAGCACCAGTAATCGATCTCACGCCATTACTCTACTGTAGGTACATAGATGATTGTTTTGTCATCTGCTCCACACAAGAGGAGATGGACAAATGCTTTAAGTTATTGAATGAACAGTCAGAGTACATAAAATTCACCCGTGAGAAACCGAAAGAAAACTGGCTTCCATTTCTAAACCTTCAAATTAACCTATCCGAGAACGGCTACACCACAAAATGGTATCGAAAGCCGAGCAGCAAGAATATAGTGGTTCACTACCGCTCCTCTCACCCCTCACACACTAAAAGAGCGCTTATAAGAAATATGTTTCGAACCGCCGCTAGCGTGTGCACAGGTAGAGAGCAGAGGGAAGAATCCTCGAAACTGGCGCGGCAAATAGCCATTTCAAATGGTTACGAAACTGTAGCTTCTCAGGATAGGCATCGAGGAAATCCCACGCCCCAGAGCGATAATTCTAGCGAAAACAAGGCTCCGTTCCTGTTGCCTTTTATTTCAAACGAAATAAGTGCAGCTATAAAACGCTGCT